TTCAAGAGGTTTGGGACCACGGGAGCTTTTAGACGCAAGACTGTGGTGGAAAGAACCCCTCCTGGTTAGAAAAGAATGAGAAGGATTGGATAATAAATACAATCGTCAACGAGAATGAAGAGCTACCCGAAATACGTAAAGTGAAGTTAGTACTTGTAGCAAACAATCCAGCAAATAGTATATTAGAACACTATTCAGAATGGAACCACATGCTACGAGGAGTAGCTTGGCTAACAATCTATTCGAAGTATCTGCGTAAGATGATCAATAGACCTCAGTCTTTAAGGATATTGGACTTGAACGAAGCGAGAAAAACGGTGCTAAGAATGGTTCAGACTGAGTGCTTTAGCAAAGAGATCTTATCGCTAGAAAAGGGACATGAAGTACCAAGGAATAGCAAGCTGCGGAGTTTGAATCCCTTCCTACGCGACGGTTTAATATTTGTGGGTGGAAGACTCGACAACTCAAACATGGCGGATAAACATAAGCACCCTGTGGTATTGCCTGCCGCTCATAAAGTAACCCGTATGATATTTGAAAAATACCATCTGGAGCTTCTCCATGGAGGACCTCAGCTTTTGTTGTCTGAAGTAAGGCGTTTTTACTGGCCACTGCTAGGTCGAGTAACTGCAAGGTCAGTGGTGTGGCGTTGTGTTCAATGTACGAAAGCAAAGCCACGTTTTAATCACCCAATGATGGCGCCACTTCCAAAAGATCGAGTGCAGTGTAGCAGACCTTTCACCGTTACAGGTTACAGATTTTGCAGGACCAATATATATTCGTAGTGGATTGAGACGAGTAGCTGCTAAGAAGGCTTGGATTGCAGTATTTGTTTGCTTTTCCACGAAGGCCATACATTTGGAGTTGGTTGACGACCTTTCAAGTAAGTCCTTTATAGCGACATTGCATTGTTTTATGTCTAGAAGAGGAAAATGTGCTAAGATTTATAGCGATAATGGCACAAATTTTGTCGGCGCTCAAAGGGAGTTAGTCTCAATGATGAAGAAGGCCAGTGTTGACTTAACGAAAGAAGGTATTGAATGGCATTTTAATCCACCGGCCGCGCCACATTTTGGTGGCATATGGGAGAGTGCCGTGAAGAGTATGAAGCATCACCTGAAGAGAGTTATATCGGATCATAAGTTAATAAACACAGAAATGCGTACACTAGGGTGTCCCAGAAAATTCAATGTAATTTTTTTCATATGCATACCCTCTTAATTTTTTTGTATTGTATCAAAACACTCATTAATGAAATTTCATGAACTTTTGACCACGATAAGCCGTGCCGACTCGAGTAGTAACCTGTCGTTGCCTGTCAATACATGCATTATAGACGTGCGCGCTTATGAACGCAGTTATGTGCGTATAATTTCCGGTTGTTCATGTTAGTAAGCATATTGTTTTTGGCGAATCAACATGTCAGCCAAATTACGCAGTACTAAAGACGGTATATTTTTAGTAGGAGACGTACAACACCCTATAAACGGGTCAAAACTTCCCTCTAATGGACAAGTACTAGCAGTATTGTTTTATAATATCCGTGAAGTAAAATTAACTATTAATGAAAGCGCGAATCTCGCTGTTCGTGAGTGTGTTATATTTTGGGAAAAGGCGCGAATCCCAACCAAATCGTTACCTAATTGTGTAAAAAAACTTGTTGACTTACATCAAGTTTGGCGAGGCTTACAAAAAAATGCAAAAAAAAAACACAAGACGTTTTCAAACAGCATCAACAAGCATTTACAGACAGTTTAAATAATTTGTTTGATATTGCACACGCTGATGCCTTACAATTAATCAAAATAGAGGAAGATAAAATATTTTTAAAGCACCAGAGAGAGCCAGGTCGAGTTGGTTATTTGGGTGGAGTGGATAAGACAAAGAAAAAAGGGCGCAACTAAGAGCAACCGAAGAAGAAAATCGGCGAATGAAATATCTTTCTGCTTCAAATTCTCTGGTGTCGAATGAACCTGTAGAAGACGATTTATTTTCCATTTCTGATGAAAATATAGATTCACCAGATAATCAGCAAACTACTATCGAGAACACAATGAGCAACCTGAGACTGGAGCGATTCTAAGAGTACCAAAAAAGAATTTTATTACTTCAAAATTAGTAGCTGCATTAGACAGGTGTCAGTTGAGTATGCGAGACTCTGTGTTTATTCTTCAAGCTACTATTGAGGCGCTTGGGTATAATACAGATGAATATCCGATAAGTAAATCTTCCATCCAACGAATCCGTACAGTAAAACGAAAAGAACGAGCGGAAGCTATAAAGATTGATTTTAAAAACGAAGTACCAGACGTTGTCACTGTTCATTGGGACGGAAAATTGTTGCCTGCACTAAATGCTCGAAATTGCAAAGAAGAACGTCTTCCTATAGTTATTTCATTTAAAAATAAAGAACAACTTATTGCTGTCCCAAAATAGGACGGTTCTACAGGAAGAGAAAAGGCACAGGCTGTTTGGAATGCAAACATAGACTGGGATCTCGAAGAAAAAGTACAGATTCTTTGTTGTGATACGACAGCTTCAAATACAGGTCGTCTCAATGGCGCTTGTATTCTCCTAGAGCAAAAACTAGACAGGGAATTGCTTATTTTTGCTTGTCGCAATCACATATATGAGCTGGTCCTAAAATCCGTTTTTGAAATAAAAATAAGTCAAGTGACCACAAGTCCTGATATTCCGCTCTTCAAGAAGTTCAGAGAAAATTGGAAAAACGTCGATCCCAATATGATACAAGGATATAGGGAAAAAATGGAAATATTTTTTACAACTTCTGAAATAGAAGCACTGCTTACATTTTATCATGCTGAATTGACAAAAAAAATTGTCAGAGATGACTATCGAGAGTTGATAGAACTTTCAGTTATATTTTTAAATGGAGATCCCGATCGGAAATTAAAAATCAGGCCTCCGGGTGCCATGCACCAAGCTCGATGGATGGCGAGAGCAATCTATTCCCTAAAAATATGTTTGCTAAGTTCTCAGTCAAAATTAACCAGTAAGGACAAGTCATCTCTTCTAGATGTCTGTATATTTATTGTAACTTGCTATGTCAAGCCTTGGCTTCAATGTATTATACCAATAAAATCACCGAATCAAGATATGTGTTTTCTAAAGTCTTTAAAAACATACGAGAACGTTGAAAAAAACATTTCAAAAGCGGCTCTACACAAATTTAGCCAACATTTATGGTATTTGACTGAAGAAGCAGCTATCCTGGCACTATTTGACGATGAGGTAAACGAAGCAACAAAAATAAAGATTGTGGAAAATTTAACAAATGAAAATATATTGACCACTGGGAAACGATACATCCCATCAAAGGACGAACTTTGCGGTTCATTATACGGTTAGTATGACATATAAATATTAATATAATAATATGTTAGTTGTTTTTATTATAGATATCTTCAGTTATTTCTAACTAAATATTTTTTATCTTTTCAGAAAAAAATATTTATGACTTTATATCGGCCAAGAGCAAGTATTTGTTCACTCGTCTCAAAATTGATGATAATTTTCTCCTCGAGTCTCCTTCATCGTGGCAAACTAATACTTCGTTTCTCAAAGCCAAAAATGCTGTGTCAACCCTTTATTTTTTATTTATCTATGATATTATTTTTACATTTTGTTTATTTAAGTTTCCTAGGCAGGTAATTGTATAAGTTATGTTATTGTTTTATAAGTTCCTTACTAATTTCAAGACTGAACCAAGGACTAATCAGGATGTTGTTTATTTTTTAATTCATGTTTTTATTTTTAATTGGTTATTAATTTGTATTAAAGGTACCTAACCTAGTTGTTAAACAGATAATGTTAATTTTTTTTTTTTGTTACTTACCTATCTATTCATTTTTATAGTTATAAAATATATATGATTCAAAAAGTTTATTTTAATTAGTATACTTTTTTATTAGAACCAGTAATAAAGTTACATCTATTCATAATATTAATGATGTATATATTTATTGTGTTACTCTCTATTGGCGCTAAAATAATAATATTTTTAAATTTTTTTTTTATCCTGTTGAAGTAAAACATTTTTAAAAACATATATGGTGACCCTATTCAACCCAGCTGTGGTATGAATAGATTTATAAGGCAAAATAAACAGGTGACCCTATTCACCCCAAACAATATGAATAGGGTCAGATTTTTTAAAAAATATATATAAAAAACTACTTAAGTAAATGTGTTTTTTTACATTGAATACTATAAAGAGATATGTTACCTTTCATATAGAAAAAAATTGAACTTTTTTTAAAAAATTTACAGAGATATAACCAAAAAACCTCTGAAATTGACCCTAATGTTTTACGGTATTATAATACTATAAAGAATCAAATGGATAACTGGGAAAATGATGATGTACTTTTAAATTACACTGAATTGTAACATGAAACAGAAAATAATATACTGGACATGGATGAACAGAGATCTACCATAAATCAGATGACATGGTCAATACCTCCAATAACTAACATGTCAAATGATAAATGTATGAAAGTTTGGAACATTTTACAATCATGGAGTCTAGAATGTGTATATAAAACATGTATGGGTAAGAATAATTGAGTAATTTTTTTATTAATTTATATAGCATATTTTTGGTTTTTGTTGTTACAGATCAATGTATTGATACCGAAGTGATGAAGTATATGAATTGTAAACATATTAGATTATTGCTAGTAAATTTTCCTCTTGGTATACAAATAAAGTTTGAAAAATATATTCATGATTATCAAAACAAAGAAGTTTAACAGCATCAAATTCCATTCTTAAAACCAAAATCAATTCCAGTATCTACAGCACAAAATATTATTCCAACAAATGAAAATATATTTGATCTAAATCAAATTCTGACAAAAAGTTCACAAAGTTCTATGGTTGTCGACTATTACTTTAAAAATAAAAAATTGAATGAATCGTGTCGTACACTATTAGTGGAGCTCATCATTAATGATTTAATCAAAAAAAATTGTACTATGACTATAGATTTAGCTAGTAATATATCAAATGTCATTATTATGTCATTTCCAACAGAAATAAAGGTAAGAACTTTTTTAACTGTTGATTTTTTTTATTATTATATTGTAAAAAATAATGTGTTTTATATTGTGAACATATTGATTGAAAAATTGACATGAATTCATTAATTAACTTGGTAATAATTTTACTATTTTTCATCATTTTTATTTTTTTTATTAATTTTAGGATGTTTATTTTTTGAAGGATGTTACTTGCAAAGCTCCTAAAGGAAAAGTTTATGCGAAATACTTCAACACTATGAAGAAATTAAAAAAATGGAGGCTAAAATCAGCAAACAATAATACATCTGAGGTTAAGAAAATTATTTATAGATTCGAAGATTTACTTAATTCTTCATTAGGTATTTATAATATGCATAAAAGTAATTGATATCTATTAATATATTGTTCGTTATATGATTCGCACAGATATTGAACCTGATTCAGAAGATGTGGCTCTTACTTTATAAAATAATATTGATTTGTCTTGGCCTGAAATAGAAGTAATATGGCGAAAAACAATTAATTTCCGACTTCAATATATAAGGAACAATGATACAGCAAGTATTTTTAGTAAATGGGTACATTACACAAAGCCAATGGTCTACAAATAAGTAATTTATCAAAAAAACTTTTAAATTTTTATTAAAATATACTTTTATAAATAATTAATAACTAAAGATAGAGATTGATTTTGGTCGAATGTACACAAATTTTAAAAAACTTAAATGTAAAATTTGAAAAAACCTTACCGACTTTACTGAGTATATTACATGATCGTGTCAAAGATGGTGGAAGTGTAGCTCTATTACGGCAGTTAAAAGAATCGACCAATTTATGTAAAAGTAAGTTTTAATGTTAACATTTTTGGACTGCATAATGTATTCATAATTATTTAATTTATTTGTAGATGGTGAAACCTTGACTTCATTATATTTGTTACATTCATTATTTTTACCTACTACTAAAAAAGTCATTTTGGATGAACAAGGCAAAAAATCAACAATCAAATATTCAATTAAAGATTCACAAAACTCATTCATCATCATAGCACATACTGCAGTAGAACTAGAATAAATTGTAGAAAACATTAAAAAATAAAAAAACGACATACAACCTTGTATTTTAATTGTTGGGTCATTATTAAATCCTATCCAAATACTTATTTACTTTGACGATATAAAATATAAAGTATTCTTAGAAATTAAAGCCGTAGACATATGTTTGAAAATTTTCCATGTATTCAATTTAGAATATCCTTTACAGTGCAATAATGTATTGTTGTTTTTACAAATTTATTATTATGAAAATGTGATAAAATATGATAGAAGTTGTAGTTTGATCAGACAAATTTGTTCAGAATTGGATACTAATTTATTAAATTCAGATTTGAGTGGTTAATTATATATGATTATATTAAATATTTTATTTTTATTTTGATTATACAGTCAATACTTTTTTTTATACTTTACATTTATGCTGTATGTGGAATATTCGAATATATAATATATTCTTTTGTCTGATAATTTTATTTTACTTAGGTACCTACTACAATTAAAATTAGTTAAATTATATATATTTAATTTTTATATTTTTATAGGTATATTTTTACATATTTTGTGCTATACCTGGACAATGTTATAATTAATTCATTTTGTATTGATTTTCTATTAATTTATATCTGCATAATTAATAGTGTTAACAATGATTTAGTATATAGTATATAAATATATTGTATGTATATAAATATAATATATAATAAGTTAAAATCAACCTGTTTGTAATATCAATGATTATTATATTGTTTCTACCTTACAATGTATTGATATGTATAAACAACAGTTTGTTTAATAAAAAATAATTTTGTTAATCTTACATATTTGTTTGTATAATACATTTTTACTATCTATAGTAAAAATAATAAAAGGTTTGTTGATATGAATAAATCAGTGTTTTGATTTGAGATAACCATGGTTGGTATTATTAACAATTACTTGGTTAATTTTACCTATATTCAATCAACAGAGTGGTTGGTTAATGTGACCTTAATTGCCTTGTAATATTAATAAACGGTTTGTTGACCGGATTTCAACGAACAGTTTGTAAATCCAAACTAACATTTTCTTAATAATATCTAGATATTTCTCTGGGTGAATATAGATTAACATTTGACGCACCTTACAATTATTACTCGACTTACGACCAATTAGTTAATTACATTATTATAATATATATTTACTAATAAGTTAATTAGTCAATTAGTCAATTACTTAATTATTTAATTAGTTAATTATTTAATTATTTAGGCCATATATGGTAGCCCATAACACCTCCCCACTAAAAAAAAGATTTCGTTCTACAAGACAGAAATCTTTTACAATATTCTTACACTTTGAATAATTTTTCTTAATTCTAAAAACTGAATATAATTTAATTATTAATTTGGTTAGTGATTTATAATTTGTTTTCAAACATGCAAACTTTTACAATGTGATATACTAATAATAATAATTAATTTACTAATGTTAGTATTATCCATTTACCAAATTCAATTTTTTTTTTGTTCAATACTATTACCAATATTACTATTAAAATATTTTATCATTCCCGCTTATCTAAACTTATTGAATTATTTATTTATTTTTATTTATATGAATGAACAGGCTAGAAGCCCAATAGTACAACACAATTTGTAGTAATGATAATGAATATTATAACAATTAATAGATAAACGCCAAACAATACGACGATTATATACAAATAAAAATAAAAGCAAAAGTAAACAAGGTAAAAACAGTAGTAAGTAACAGATTAAGTACTAGAAAAAAAAAAAAGAAAAAACTTTCTAAGAGAAGCATAGGTGTTCGTTACAAATGCGCATCATACGATGAATGGGATAATTTCTACCATAGTTGGTGCTGTGGAAAGGAACAGCAAAAGGAGAATTAGACCTTATTAAGCGAGAGGGAACTTTAAAATTAATTAGAGAAAGGAGAGATGGAGCGTCCACACGTCCGTCAATCAGCTTATGCAAAAATACTAAGTTAGCATCAACTCTTCTATCTGCCAGGGACAAGAGTCCAAGTTTGTTCATCACTGGCCTATAATCATGTGGTGGATGTGGAATTTGTAGAATAAATGACGCTGAAGAACAAAAACGCGTCTGGACCCTCTCAATGCAAGAAGAGTATGCTGCCGTAAAAGGGTCCCAAAGAACGGAAGAATATTCTAAAAGAGGCCGTACAAGGGAGCAATATAAAGCTTTGAGAGAACTAGATAGCCTAAATTCTTTTGAAGTGTGTATGACAAAACCGAGCATCTTCAATGCACGATAGCAAACAGCCTCAATATGGTAATGAAAATCGATATTTGGACATAAAAAAATACCCAAGTCTTTCTTCGTAACAATATTAATGCTTGACCCGTTTATCAAGTACGTATAGTGAATAATATTACTGCTCCGGGCAAAAGACATAGAATGGCATTTACCTACATTGAAGCTTAGTCCCATAGAATTGAACCACAAAACAAGAGCATCTAGCTCATTCTGGAGGGTTACACAATCAGTTACTGACTCAATTATCTTGAAGATTTTCAAATCGTCAGCAAACATAAGGAACATAGAATCAGGGATAATCTGTTTTAGACCATTAACCAATAGAAAAAACAACAAAGGGGATAAGTTCCCCCTTTGAGGGACACCTGAAGGTACACAGACTGCTTCAGATTTACAACCTAGGACTTTTACATATTGGATCCTATCAGATAAATAAGATTTGAACCAAGATAGAATGGGCTCCCCAAATCCAGCTTTATACAGAACATCAATTAGTACTGTATGGTCTACACGATCAAACACTTTGGAGAAATCCGTAAAAATAACATCCACCTGAGTTCGGTTTTCAATGGCCTCCAATATGAAATTATGATAAACTATCTGATTTGTAGTAGCAGAACGGCTAGGCCTAATACCGTATTGTTCATCAACTAAGATAGAATTCACTGATGGCTGATTACTCTTCAGGACAAGCAGCTCAAAGATTTTAGCAATATGATTTTGAATAGTAATAGGCCTATAATTGTTTACATCAGTTTCATCACCAGTCTTAAATACAGGCGTGACTGAGCTAATCTTTAGCATAGATGGGAATGTTCCTGTGTCGAGGGAGTGACAGAATATCAACCATAAAGGAAAGCAGAGAGCTAATCTTATGTTATATAGAAACGTCCCTGGTAGACCATCAGGAACAGCCGACTTTGAAGTTTTTAACATAGACAAACCCAGTTCAACATCATTGTTGGTAAAGGAACAATTACTTGGTAAGTTAAAATGAGAAAAGGAAATATCAGGAGTTTGGCTGGAAGAGGGAGTGGCATAAACGGTGCTAAAATAAGAAGAAAAGAGGTTAGAAACTGATTCAGGGCCAGAACCAATCTTTTTATCAAAATGAACTGTATATGGAATCCCATCACTGGATTTATTTTTCCGGAGAAGTCCCAAAAAGACCGAGGATTGGTTTTTAGCTTACACCTAGTTTGAGCTATGAACGATTTATAGCAATTTTTGTATTCATATTTATAGCGTGCCCGGAGATTAGAAAACTCGTTATAATCTCTGGGACAGTGGGAAACTTTAAATTTGGCATGCGCCCGCTTTTTAAAAATAACTATAGATTTGAGGTCTTTATAAAACCACATAGGAAATTTAGAAGAACTATAACTGACTTCTGGAACAAAATTCAGAAAGCAGAAATGCAGAGCATCATACAATGCGTTGGTTGCTTGATCCACATCTAGAGACTATAGTTTCAAACTAGTTGAAGGACAAAATAAAAGAACATATGTCTGGATAGCATGCACGACGAAAATTAAAGTATTTATGGGAGTTGTCAAGAAGTGGACTAAGGGAAATTTGATTACAAGCGCAGGGTGATAAGGATTACAAGGAACAGAGACAGATTTTTCTACCAAAACATTGCAGTTGTTGGAAAACACCAGATCAAGAATTCCCCCAAAATGATTCGAAACCCCAATGAGCTGGAAAAAATGATTCAAAGCAAATATTTCGGGAACGCATTGCACTCTAGGGCCTGAAGATGAACAATAAATTAGACCATAATCGTCATTAGACCATGAGGTATAAGGTAGGTTAAAGTCACCACAGATTATGAATACACAACCAGGATTGAGAGAGATAGTAGCTTGGACAGCTGACATAAATGACTCATAGACGAGAACTGGACTATTAGGAAGGATATAAACGGAACAAACTACAAAGGTGACATTTTGTACATCGAATCTTACAAATAAATGCTCAACAGTATAGGCTGTAGTTGGTAATAATTCACAAACTATATCGCACCACCACCTCTATAAAAATTACTAGTATCACTATTACGATCATATCTGAATACAGCATAATTAATTAAACCTAATTTATTATCAAAAAAACTGTCACTTAACCAAGTTTCAGATAAACAAATAAAAATATAATTAAACAAAGACACATTACATTTAAAACACAGTAATTTGGTTCTAAGACCACGGCAGTTTTGATAAAATCCAAGTGACAATTGAACGCCATGGTGGCTTAGTTTTTTGAATTTTTAGAATTTAAGATCATACCTGGTTGAAGACGACCCCAGAATCTCTTGACAATAACTCCATCGGGCCGTAAATATTGTAAATTGTCTTCTATCCTTAGTTATAGCGATAAAAGGTTGTTCCGGTTTTAATATATGAGTTACATTTCTCATCATTGGTACTGGTATCGCATTGTACATAGTTAATTCTATTTCTGTAACCAGTGGTATTTTAATTACGAACAATAATTTGTCTTGAGTGTATATAGTGGTAATCTTAATTATTTTTCTTAGTTCATATAGTTCATTTGGAATTGTCCCCATAGGTAAATGCATTTTATATCTAAACAATGTGCTATATCATTTAATGTTTCTGATAAGTCCTTTAGTGTTAGTAAACTTGTGTCTATCACACCTGTTCATGCGGTGGTAATTATTTGATTTAACATTAATGTTTTGTATGCGTATTGATTTACAAGTGCCAAATGTAGATTTTGCACACTATTGAATAATAATAAATCCAATATGTCATTTTTTGCGTTTGTCAAACTGTTCATTCTTTTTACGAGTTCTTGTTGTATTCCTCTTAATTCCTCATGTAATTGTTGCGTTTCTTCTATACTTGCTCCTATACGTTGCATTGCTGTTTTTACTAAAGTTGTTTGTTTCTTCATTAAATGTAAAACATTTCCACTATTCTTCTGTTGTTCAATTAGTGCCCTATTTACTTTTTTAGTACATTCATCATCACAAACTCCAAATAATACGTGTAATGCGTTTCCTATAATATTTATAGCTCCCCGTTTCTCTCTTTTAATTTCATCTCTTCCTAGTGATATAATAATATTTTCTCTCTGCATAGATATCTCGGTAAACATTCCAGTTATAATATTATCGAATTTACTACAAATAAGCCTATGTTTATCATCCTTTTTACAATTTTCATTTAATTCACTTATATTTTTTTTCTAAATATTCATATTTTTCATTATATTCTGTTAAGGATAGATATGCCATTAACGTATATTCACCCCCTACTAACCTTGTTGGTCCATAATTTTCAAAATAATAACCTGGTTTGTTGATATCGAAGCTTTCAATGCTAAAGTGTTCTGAATGATCCTTAATTTTTATTTCTTCGCCAATGGTAGTTGTAATGCACAATAATAATCTAAAATATTTATAATTATTTATTCTATATATATTTGCTTTTGAATTGATTAATTTAACGACAAATTTTGTATAATTTTATAGGTTTAATGTTGGATACTATTATATTAAAAATACATCTAGTTAAATCTACATCCGTCACAGGATCATGACAGTGTGATATTTCGTGCCTTTTTATGCACACTAAATCATGTGCCTCCTTTAAATTAAGCATTCTACCATTTTTTATTTTATACCCTATGTCCCTACTATATAATAATTTATTGTTATCCATATTAATTAATTTTAGACTAAAATAGTTGTCATTATTATCGCTATATGTTGTTATGTTTAGCATTCTTTTAATATTATTTATCCGCAGTTTCTTTAATATCTTCCTATCCATGTCTCCATTCCAGAATACAACAACAGGTTTTCTGTTTCTATCGGAAAACATGTAATGATTTAAGAAAGTTGTGCCTAGATTTCTATTTCCCCCGACCACTACACTTTGGTGTAATTGCCCGAGCAACGGTGTTAAAACATCTGGCTTCTTTCTAAAAATCATCTTCAAATGTTTCAGCAGACCTTCATAATTTCTTGGGTGAAATATTTGTAATTTACCCTCTTCAGTTAAAATGATAGGCCTCCCTTCCAATTTAATAGGTGTATGCTTATTGAGATTGTTGCAAATGGCTCCTGATACTAATAATATATCTTTTTTGTTTACCATTGCAAATTCAAAATCAATAACCACAAATTTTATCTGCGAACTACAAAATATTACAAGTTAATACAAGTTAATAATAAATCATTTACATAAAAATTTTCTTTTTAAAACAGCCCATCTTCAATTAATTCGTCTATTATTCTTCCTAATTCATTACAAGATGGTCCAGTCGAATCTATAGATATAACTTCTTCCATAAATTCTTGTAATCCCAGCATTATTCCTAACAATTGTTCACATGTATATGGTTCTGTCATCATACTATTTGTATCCATTATATGCTCATTAAAACATGGTAACTCAAGTACATTTCCTAATTCTCGTGTTCCTACTTCTATATGGTTATCTCCTCCTAAAAATTCGCGCAATTTCCTCATGAATTCCTTAGCTCTTTCCATAATTATAATTTTATATATATTGTTTGAATTTAAATATCGTTTGATTTTTCTTCGTAATTGATCCTACCTGCAATATTTTTAATTTAATTATATTCATGTATAACATATTTATATATATATATTTTTATGTATGTATTTATTTATTTTATTTTATTTTTTTTTTTTTACGTTTTTATTCTACTTTATCATTATAATATTTCTTTACATTATTTTTATGAACTGTTACCCCTCTTCTGCCTCTTTGTATTATTATATTTTCCTCTCCTAATACCTCTATTACTTCAAAAGTTCCTGTCCATAATGAGTTTAACTTATTTTTACTTGCGTTATCTTTCAATCATACTAAATCTTTAACATGTATCTCAATTGCATTTTCATTTTTATCATAACCTTCCTTAGATTTCATTTTACTTTTTATTAATTTTTCTCTCGCAATTTTATGTGATTCCTGTAAATTCTGTTTTAAATCGTATAAATAATTATCGTAATTATATCTCGGTTCTGGCTCGGATTTTAGTTTAACGGGTATTTCTAATGTCCTACCATATACTAATGCGTATGGTTGAAAATTAGTAGATGAATGTTCAGTTGAATTATATACAAAAAATGCATAAGGTAGTAAATGATCCCAATTGCTTAGATTTTTATCAACATAATGTCGTAAATATTCGGCTAAAGTTCGATGTGATCTTTCTAAACTTCCATTTGTTTGCGGATGAAACGGACTAGTATTTACTTTATTTATTTTTAATAATTTACATATTTCACTAAAAGTTTTACTTAAAAACTCGGTACCTTGATCTGTTAATATTGTTTCAGGTATTCCGTGTATACATACGAAATGTACTACGAAAGCCTCTGCCACAGTATTAGCTTGATGATCTGGTATAGGAACTCCTAATGAATATTTAGTCAAATCGTCCTGCATTGTTAAAATATATGTATTACCCGATAAGGTAGTTGTTAACGGTCCTACAATATCTAGAAATATTTTTTCAAACGGTTTCGAACTGGTTGATGTAATAGCCATGGGTTGTTTTATCTTTTTATTATTTCGTATTAATCTTATTTTTCTGACATGATGTACAATTTTTTATATATGTTTTTATATCTGTTTTCATACCTTTCCATTTAAATTGTTTCTGTATCTTTTTAATAGTTTTATTTATTCCTAAATGTCCTCCCAATCTTGAATCATGAAATTGTTTTAAAATGTCTAACTTCTCTTCCGCAGTATGTTCTACCTCTGTACATATTAGTATTTCTATATCAGTTTTCCTAAATATATATCGTATTATTGACCTAATTTTCTCCCATTCTAAGTTATCTGATTGACCTAGTTTATTCATTGCTAATTTACTGATATTATTTTCTTCGCAAAATTGTTTCAAGTTCAGTAACGTTACGTAAATATTTTCATACGTTGATAATTGTTTATCTTTATTTTTAGTTATTAAAAACATAATATATCGGTTATCTATTTTATAATATTGTATGTCACCTTTTATTTTACTCGGCGTTAACATTTGATTATTTCCAAATCTCTGTTTTAATATTTTATTTAATCCCTCCGTGAAATTATATTGTTTAGCAATTTCCGATACTAAATGGTATTCTACAGGTACGTCTAATAAATTTCCTATTGTTTCTTTTACATTTTTATTTGAGATTAATTGTGTTTCCATTTTTTCAAGGAAACTAGAATAATTATCATCTTTTATCTCAGTTATATTATACATTCTGCTTAATGCATCTACGTTTGAATTCTGCACTCCCGGTTTATATTTAATCTCATAATCATATTCCTCTAGCTGTATACGCCATCGAGCTAATTTTGATAACGGATTTTTTAAATTAAATAACCATGTTAATGGTCTATGATCGCTTAATATTATGAACTTTCTTCCATATAAGTATGGTCTGAATTGTTTTACACCGAAAATAATGGCTAAGCATTCTAGCTCTGTTGTACTGTAATTGTTTTCACTTTTATTTAAAGTTCGTGAAGCATAAGCTATAGGTAAATCTTTTCCTATCTCACCCTGTGATAATATTGCTCCTAATGCTTTGTTACTCGCGTCAGTTGTTAAAATAAATGGTTTCGTAAAATCTGGATATTTTAATATTGGTTCAGAACATAATGCTTGTTTTAATGAATCGAAAGCTTTTTGACATTCCTCTGACCATTCGAATTTAACATCTTTTTTCAAAAGATTAGTAATTGGTTTTGCCTTAGCACTATATGATTCAATAAATTTCCTATAATAACCCGATAATCCTAAAAATGATTTTATTTCTTTTACATTAGTTGGTTTTGGAAAATTTAAAACTGCCCTCACTTTCTTTTCATCTGGTTTTATTCCATGTTCAGATATAACATGTCCTAAATATACACATTCACGTGTTAGAAATTCACATTTATCCGGCTGTATTTTTAAGTTATGTTCTTTTAATCTTTCGAATACGTCTTTTAATTTATTATTATGATCGCGTAAATTTTTCCCGTATACAATTATATCATCTAAATATACTAGACATTTTATTCCTATTATGCCTGCTAATACATTGTTCATTAACCTTTGGAAGGTTGCAGGTGAAGTTCTCATTCCCATTGCCATACGTTTAAAGTGCCAATGACCTTGATTAGTTGAAAAGGCCGTTAATTCGCGTGATGATTGCTCTAATGGTATTTGATAAAATCCTGATGCCAAATCGATAACACTGAATAATTGACATTGCCCTAGTTGATCTAATATTTCAGTTATGTTCGGAAGTGGATGAAACTCATTTAATGTTACTTCATTTAATGCTCTAAAGTCTACAACAATTCTGAATTTCTGTTTCCCACTAGCATCTGGTTTTTTCGCTACTAATAATAATGGTGCATTCCAAGGACTCGTGGATTGTTCTATAATATCATCATCTTCCATTTTACGAATTTGTGAAGCTATTTCCTCTTGTTGCGAATGAGGTAATCTATATGGTCGTTTATATATAGGCGGTTGGTTATCTTTTAATTTTATTTCGTGTTTAGCGGCATTAGTGAAAGTTAATTTATCTCCCTCTAAATGAAATATTTCAGAATATTGTTCACATAATTCAAATATAGATTGTCTTTCTTCAATATTCATATGTTCGCTTCTAATTAGATTCTTTATCTGTTCTATTCGGTTAGGTGAGTTATTTGTTTTTATCGTATTAATTTTGAATAAATTGTAATCTGAAGATTCGTCATATAATATTTTATTTATATCATTTAATTTAATCTTTTGCGTACATTCCGATATATTTAATATGCTAACTATTATTTTACCGTTTTTTACTTTTCCTATCACATTACTACAAAACACGTCTTTAATTATTTCTTGTTTTTGTATAATTATATTTTTATCTTCGACCTTGGGTTCAGCTATCGGTAATTCTACAATAGTCTCAGTTCTCGGATTTAATGAAAAATATTCTTCATCATTTTTTAACATATTACATTTATTTTCTTATTAATTATAATTGTATTATTACTTATATCGATTACAGCTTTATTATTAGTTAAGAAAGGTTGTCCTAATATACCGTCTTTTAAAATTGGAAAATCATTTTTGACAAGATTAAATTTTACATTTATTTTTTCATTATTAATTTCAATTGTTATATTAACTGTTCCAATAGTTTCTATTAATTTTTCATTTATTCCTCTTATTTTAATTTTATTATTTTCGTCTACCATTACTTCTCCTATCAATTTGTTGATTTTTATTACATTTATTTCGCTACCTGTATCTATTAATAATGCCAAATGTTTAGTTTTACTAAAATCTGAATTACATTTTATATGATTTTCTTTTAATTTTGTTGTGATGTGGAAGCATCTGCGGTAGTTATTTGACTTATCGAACGTGTACCGCTGACCATATTCGATATTTGCGCGTTTCCCGAATTATTATTATTTCCGTTGTTTCGATTATTTCGATCATCATAACGTTTTTTATAACATTCGTTTAAGTTATGCCCGTTTTTGTTACAATATTCGCATGCGATAAATCTTACGTTATAATTAGTTGAAGGTCTCGTAAAGTTATTCTGATTAGGTCTCGCGTAGTTATTCTGATTAGGCGGTCGATTATTATTCCCGTAATTCTGTGAATTATTCCTACATTGACTTGCATAATGATTACCATTACAATTATAGCATTTTATCTGCTTGTTATTTTGACTATTATTAGGTAATCTCGAATTATAATTATTACGATTGAAATTTCTATTATTATTATATTTTTGTTGAAACGAATTATTTTGCTGAAAATTACGTGATTGATTAAAATTTTGTTTATAAGATCTGTCATAATTATTTTGATTATTAAATTTTTTATTTCTATTTATATTGTTAAGAGCTTCTCTATCGGAATTAAATTCTAATTCTTCAGATTTCGCTATTTGTTTAGCTTGTTTTAACGTTGTTGGGTTTCGCGATTTTACTATAGTACGAATTGGTTCTTTTAATCCTTTCATATAAATTGCTAATGTTTGATCTTTTAATGTTTCATGAATTACCCTAGCATCATCTTTATTTTTATTTAATGTATTCATATCACTTAATTTATAATATAATTTTTCTACCCGATCACTATATGT